TCCACTCACCTCGGCCTCCCAAAGTGCTGGGATTATAGGCTGAGCCACCGAACCCGGCCTTGTCTCCCAATTTCATCAAAAGCTAGCTTGTGGGGAGACAGCTGTAAAATTTCAATAACATATAACTCTTATCCAGAATTCATTGTGTGCCTGTCACCGTTACAAAGCAGTTTATACACAGTATCTCATTTAATGTTCACAGTAATCCAAGGAGGTAAGATTGTTATTATTCCCATCTTATAGATGAGGACACTGAGGCCCACAGTCCCACAGCTAAGAGTACAGTTTCAAATTCAAGCAATCTGATTCCAGAACCACACTGCCAAAGTGAGCAAAGAGCTGAAAAGCCAACACTGGGTTAGATCCTTGTCATGGCCTTTCCCTCCCCTCCCCCACAGCCCTGTCCACATTTGAGCACTTTTCCAAGTGTTTCCAGACAGAACCAACGCCTTTCATCGCTCCTTTTTTCTAATCTCAGTGGCATATCAGAAGTCTGTGATTCTCCCATCCACCCTTTCAGAAGGGTCTCCCTCATCGCCTCCACCCCCAGGTAATGGAAGCCCCTGTGGGTTGTTCGTTAGAAACACTCACAGGCCAGGCTCGGTGGCTCAGCCTGTAATCCCAGCGCCTTGGGAGGCTGAGGTGAGTGGATTGCCTGAGCCTGCGGGTTCGAGACCCGCCTGGGCAACTTGGTGAGACCTCATCTCTACAATAAATCAAAAAATTAGCTGGGTGTGGTAGCGTGCACCTGTGTAGTTCCAGCTACTTGGAAGGCTGAGGCGGAAGGATTGCCAGAGCCCAGCAGGTCAAGGCTGCAGTGACCGAGAGCGGCCACTGCACTCCAGTCTGGGCAACAGAGTGAGACTCCAACTCAAAAAAAAAAAAAAAAATACTCACAGAGGCCGGGCTCGGTGGCTCAGCCTGTAATCCCGCGCTTTGGGAGGCCGAGGTGAGTGGATTGCCTGAGCCCGCGGGTTCAAGATCCGCCTGGGCAACTTGGCGAGACCTCATCTCTACAATAAATCAAAAATCATTCGGGCGTCATAGCGCACGTCTGTAGTTCCGGCTACTCGGAAGGCTGAGGCGGAAGGATCGCCGGAGCCCAGCAGGTCGAGGCTGCGGTGGGCGGGAGCAGCCACTGCACTCCAGTCTGGGCGTCGGAGTGAAACTCCAACTCAAAAAAAAAAAAAAAGCACTCACAGAGTCCCTCCACCTCTTAGGAATGCCCCTGAGATCCGATCTCTCTCCCACTCCAGTCGCCTAAGCACTCTGTCTCTTTTCAGAGCCCCACAGTCCAGAGATCTTTGATTGTCTTCAGCCCGACTCAAGCCTACTTGTCAGTACCTCATGTGTATCCCGGCACCTTTCTGTAGCCTTCCATCATGTATGCTGACCAAAGCTAACTGGGGGGCTAAGATCAGGGCTCCAAAGATAACCAACCTGTTTAACCCTCGGAACAGCACCGGCTAGAAGCTGAACTTCAAGCACCAGGCCCGATTTCCATGGCGACACCCCACCCCCACCCCCGGGGGATCATTGCCATGGTAACACTGGAGCGATACTGGTCACAGTGAACGTTATTTCCCCTCTCCGTTTTTCTTGATAAGACTCGCCCAAGCTAAGGGGAGCCCTGTCCCCCACTTCAGAGATCAAAGGAATCCCAGGCCACCCTAGACAATATCAGCGCTGCTCCAAAAACCCCACAGGTCCTATAGCTTTTCCAAATGAGACACTGGCTGGTCCTGGATTTCTGCCTCCTTGAGAACCCACTTAACCACCGGGGGGGGGAATTCAGGGAGGTAGCATGTGGACAACCAAGTGAAGGGGAGAGTGTGTGGGTCTGGGTTTCTTTACCGTCATCCCTCCCACATCTGGTACAATGCAGCAGCCCTGACAGCAGGCACTGGACACTGCTGAGAAAGACCAAGGCAGAGAAAGATGACCAGAGATACACTTAACTGGGTCCAGTGAAAACGTCTCACTGGATCCTGAACGTGCAAAGGGGCGAACAGATGCACACCACACACAGACAGTGACCCAGACACCCTTTTCCTATGACTCAGGCCATTCACTGTGGCTAAGCTCCATCCCCCAGGTTCCTGGGAGAAGTCAGAGGAACAGGGAAGAAATAAAGCACCCAGAGCTGTCCCTCCAGCTTGTCCTCCCATCCTCTGTCAAGCAGAACAAAGCCCACGATGGAACGAACTCCAAAGCTCAGAGCTAGCCGCAGCGCTGCAGAGGCAAAGGGGAGAGTCGTCACAGAACAGGCTGGGTTTGGAGAGATAAGCTCTCCCCACTTCACTCTTCCCTCATCTTCCCCACCAACCTGAATCAGCCTCCTCCATTAACTCCTCAGACAGTGGCCCACACAGTGGGCCCCAAAGAGAGACAGAGGAGGAAAGAGGGAAGGGGGTAGAGATGTCCTTCTCTTGTTGGGAGCCTCAAGGGTCTCCTCAAAATCCCGTCCCCTGTTGCCCACATTCCCCTGAATGAAGAATGAATAAGGCTGAAAAGGTAAGCTCCAAGGAGGTTATCTGAGACAAAATGGCCCCTGTAAGCATTTATCTTTGAGTGAGAGATTGACAGGGAGGGCTGGGGCGAGGGAAGATACAGAGTGAGACAAAGGTACAGCTTATCAAGTGAAACAGACAGGGACATGCCAGCTGTGGAGCAGAGATAGAATCAGAGTTGGCAGGGGACCCCGGGCTTCTCTTTATCTCGCCTCCCTCCCCACCTCCCGTGTGTCTCTTTGCTCAGCTGGGCTAACTGGACAGATCAACAGCACAACATCCGACATCACCCAGCCGCCCTCCCCCCCCCACCCCACCCCATCACAGCATGATGGCCTAGAGAGCGGAAAAGAGTTGGTTCGGACTTGCTGGAAAAACCTTCCAGAAAAAGGAAGTTGGACCTGAAAGTGGAACCCTTTTGTGGATTTGCCTCCAGCCCCCTCCTGTTTCTCAGCCTTTGTTTCAGGGGGAACTTGTGTTTCAGGGGGAACTTCAGCTCTCCTGCTGGATGCTTGCTGTCCAGGCCACTCCAGGAGGGGTCCTCCAGGGTCAGTTTGGGCTTTTGTTTTTTAGCCTGGCCAGGCTGACGAGACTGAAAGGCCTGAGGTGTCCCTGAGGCGAAAGGAAACAGAGGCCCACCTATGTGGCAAACACACACACACACACACACACACACACACCACACACACACACACGCACGCAAAAGCACCCATTGAGTTCACACTGTGGGTGAGGGCATATGGTGGTGGCAGACTGGGGTCCCTGGGGACAGGTCTGCAGGTCTCTTCCTAAGGCATGTTTACTCAAAGTCCTTTCTCACTGAGGCCTCCCAGGCTTCCTCCCCTTCTTTCCTCCATTCCTTTAACAAGAATGTTTTCAGCTGCTCTGTGCCAAGCACTGTGGATAAAGATACATAAAAGCGCTCCTGACCTTGAGGGCTGCCCTCATATGTGCCACTCCCTTCTCACATTGGCCACCGTTCCTGGCTCAGCACCCCTCAAGTCCTACAGGACTTGGCCCCAGATCCTTTCAACCCGTACACAGCCAAAAGGTACCTATGAGTCTAGGAAAGAAAAAGGAGGCAAGGCCTGGAATTTCCCTTTGGGCCATCGCAGATAAAGATAGAACAGAAATCTGGGCAGACAATGTGACACAAAGGAAAGGATGTGAGCTTTGGAGTCACAGACTTGGTTCAGATGCATGAACTAACAACATGACCTTGAGAAAGTTATTCAAGTTCTTTGGGCCTCAATTTCCTGATCTGTAAAATGGATATATTGATATTACTTCAGAGTATTGTTTTGAGGGTTAAAAAATATAGAGTAACAAGCACACTATAAATACTAGCTCTCCTTACGATCTCTTCCATGTAGGACTGCCATGATGGGATAGACGTGCCTTGCTACTTTTTATTGAGTCATCAAGAGAAAGGATGAATAAGTACTTCTTAGAATTTTAGGGTTTGAGCATTCTTCTTGGGGGAAGACAGTTGGGGAGTCTGAAGTCTTCTTTCTACTGTACCTAGGACCAAAAGGCAGACATGTCCTTAGAATTCCAGAGGCTTCCCCCAGGACTGGGTGTGGCATCAACATGTTTCTTTCTCAAAAAATCTTTCATCGGACTTGTGCACCACCCCTCCTCCAAAGTCCAGGTTCTAACTACTTCAGGGAACGATGGAGGGCTTAGTCCTAGAAGCCCGCTCCCATCCATGCCTCCGCAGAGACCCTGGACTGCCCACCTCCCACCGAGCCCACCTAACAGTCTTCCCTCTCCCTTCCTGGGAGGTAGGGTAGAGATCTGAGCCAATAACAAAGGGAAGATGCGCTTCCTCCGGGTGGGGGGTGGGGGGTGGGGGGTAAAGGAAAACGTCAGAAAAACACGGGACTGGCTCTAAGGGGTGGGAACGCTGCAGAGAGCAGCAAAGGGTCGCTGGGTCTCCCGATGATGGGCTCCGTAGCACCCTCCCACCCTGCAGAGACCCAGTCGCCGGCCTGGTCGGGCCACACCCTGCCATCCTGATGCGGGGGACAGCAGGAGGGGCTGCGGCGGAGAGGATGGAGGATGAGCGGCGGGGAGGGTGCGGGGAGGGTGCGGGGAGGATCCAGCCTCCCGCTCCCGCCCCGAGTTCCCTCCCGGGAGACACTCACCCCAATAACGACGCTGTCGTCCCCTTGGAAGATGGGGATGAACTTGTCCCCCCGCAGAATCTCCGCCTGGTTCAGGGGCCGAAACCGGCAGAGCACCTTGATGCTGCATTCGTTGTTGGTCTCCGCCATGGTGGTCGTCGGCGCAGGGCCGGGACGCTCCTCGGGCTGCCGCGGCGGGATGCGCTCCGGAGAAGGGCGCGCTCAGCGGAGGCCGAGGCGGCGGGCGAGTGCTCG